TATCAAAAAGTTGGAGCTGAACTCTTGGTCAGAGTCTTCAGCCTGTTTACTTCCTGTTTGATCAAATAGTTTCTGATCTAATTCAGAAAACTTTAATACTTTAATAAAACTGATTCATCGAGACGTTCGACATAATTTACTTAATAAAGGTAAGACATGTTTCTGTCCCCTGGACTGAGGTGTGTTTGTGTCGTCACAGAAACTTTCACGTCGTCATAGTTACGAACACTTTTCAGACAGCGAGCAGCTCCCGTAACAGCCTCAGGTCAGCAGTGTGAAGGTCGTCGTTACCTCCCGTATGACAACAGATCAGACTCAGCTCTGTGTCACAGCTGATGTGTTTTAGCATCAAACTTCAGTTATGAAAAGAAATCCCAGACTTCCAGATGGACAGTGAGATATTCCCTGGAAATCATGGATGTAAAAACCCCCTCGACTCACAGTCTGAGACTCTGCTGTGTCACCCCCCCCCCCAACAGCAACAACAGCAGTATGTTGTTTATCTCCACCTCCACTGTCGGCTCTGTGCGCCGCTGCACAGCTGTCCAGCTGTTGTATCTTGCTGTTTGTGTTTTTTATTCTGCTGTTGTAACCGAACATTGTTATGACCCCTCCTGTTCATCTCTCTCGCTTTCTCCTACTGAACGGCCTCTCTGCATGTAAGTAACAACCAGTGACAGCACCCTGCTCTCTCTCTCTCTCTCTGTCTATTAACCCTGTAGATGAAGTCAGCTGTCACTGCCCGTGTTTCAGTTTTGTTTCTGTTGATGTAAAACAACAGAAGGCCGACACAAAGCTGAAACCGTGTAGCTGAGTGTGTGTGTGTGTGTCTGTCTGTCTGTGTGTGTGTGTGTGTGTGTGTGTGTGTGTGTGTGCTGTGATGTTCATCTTAACCTGTTTTCTAATCAGACAGTGAAGTAAACAAACACTAACGAACACGTCCGGTCAGATTCACAGTGTAGACGCTGTGAGCAGCAGCTGCTCCTCAGACGCCTGTTGCACAGCAGAAACCCAGTGACTTGTGGGTATTGTATTTTGCTCGTCAGCAGCCTGAGACGGAGGCTCGTGTTACAGAGGCCGAGGACACATTGTACAGTGAACAGACATGTGATCCACTCTGCAGCACACATCAGACCACCTGCATCGTTCAGTCTGCTCACAGATTTTACACAAACCACATTTACCCCGGACGTCTGGGTCTGATGAAAGATCAATAATTATTATTATTAAACAGCTGCATTAAGATTTAACACGAGGATTTATTTAGAAGAAATAGTTGCACAAAGTTCATTTGATCACGTCCTTTGAAAATATCTGAAAGGAAAGTTGGAGTAAAAATTAATAAACAGACAGAAAATGTGTCAGAAACTATTTTGATCGTCAGTGAATCATTTTCTAAAAATGTTCCAGTTTATTTGAATGTGAAGGTTTGATGCTTTCTGCTTTTTTAATACATTTTTCACATTTTCTGACTTTTATTATTTTTTATTTGAAACAACAATGAAGAAAATAATCAGCAGATTAATTGACAATGAAAAAGATTATTACTCAGAGTAAACAGTTTTGTACAGATGTGTTGTCGCAGGTAAACAGCTGCTGACAGTTTGTTCCTCCTACAATAATGGACCTTAATTAGCCTGTAAATGTAATAATCCTCCACTAGTTTAAATCAGTTTTCTCTTCTTCTTTTCAACTTCGTCTTTTCTTCTTTTTAAAGAATTATTCTCAGTGTAGATCGTTTAATTCGACCACGTGTTGAAGAGAATCAACAAGGGCGGCAACTGAATTATTCACATTTCAAGTTAATCGTCAGAAAATCACAATTTCCTAAAGCCGTGCTGAAATACTCTTTACCTCGCTCACGTCCAAAACCAAAAGACATTCATTGAAATGAATGAATTTATGATCATCGTAGACTGATAACTAAGGAAACAATAAGAAAAGCAGAAAATATTCATGTTTAACAAACTGGAATCTGTGAGTTTTTGGTATTTTTTCAGTCAACGGATCAATTCATCGTCTGATAGTTTCAGGACTTTTTCACACTGAATGATACTTTAAAATTCATTCAGCAGGATTTTTTTCTTTCGACAACACTTTCCGTAATAAAAGAAGCCAGATTTAATGAACAGCTGTTTCATTTCCATGGCAACCCTCTCAGACCTGTTCGTCGCCTCGACAGTTTCTTGTATCACGAGGTTCAGTCAGTCGTCAGACCGCACATCGTTTGATCCGCCGGGTTAACTGGATCTTCTGATGAGCCACGTCTGGTCGGATTATTCTGTAGTTCATCACTTCACAGATCAAATTCTCACTGTGTGTTCTGACAGTAGATCTTGTTGCCAGTCAGATTTTAATGTGCTTTATTTTGACAACTTCCTCTCCTCTGAACCCCGTAGTTATCAGACCTGTTCTCCTCTCTGTCTGTCGTTTTCTCAGCACTCTCCTCCACATCCTCTTCATCTGTCTCTCTTTCCCTCCCTCCCCTCCAGTGTTCGACCAACTAGATCTCGTCACGTACGAGGAGGTGGTGAAGCTTCCTGCTTTCAAGAGGAAAACACTAGTTTTGTTAGGTGAGTGATTTAAACCGGAGCAGCGGGAAAAAAAAACCTCTGTTATTGTTGGAGATAAAAATCTAACATGAAATCCTCTCTTCAGATCTGAATCCTCACATCTTTTATCAAATATTAAAATTCATTTACAAGTAGAAGAAGAGAAGGCAAAGATATTCAGTTTAGATCAGCTGTTTGATCAGCTGCTGCAGAAAAGTTTTTAGTCCTAGAAAATAAATGAATTAACATTAATGAATTAATGTGTGTGTGTGTGTGTGTGTGTGTGTGTGTGTGTGTCAGGTGCTCATGGAGTGGGCAGAAGACACATCAAGAATACACTCATAACCAAACACCCCGACAGATTCGCCTACCCCATCCCACGTAAGACACGATCACAAGTCCTCAACAGAAACACACAACAACAACAACAACACACCTCACTGTGTGTGTGTGTGTGTGTGTGTGTGTGTGTGTGTGTGTGTGTGTGTGTGTGTCACAGACACAACCAGACCTCCAAAGAAGGACGAGGAGAACGGGAAGAACTACTACTTTGTTTCCCACGACCAGATGATGCAGGACATCAGCAACAACGAGTACCTGGAGTACGGCAGCCACGAGGACGCCATGTACGGGACGCGGCTGGAGACCATACGCAAGATCCACCAACAGGGGCTGGTAGCTATACTGGACGTGGAGCCGCAGGTGTGTATGTGTGTGTATATATAAAGGTGTGAGTGTGCATTTATATTTGGAGATGTATCGAGTCTAACACCTGGTCTCCATCAGGCCCTGAAGGTCCTGCGGACAGCAGAGTTCGCCCCGTACGTCGTGTTTATTGCTGCACCAACCATCACGCCAGGAATCAATGAGGTAGGAAAACATGAAACACAATGACTCACTGTGAAGGACCAGGGGCTGATTTACTACCTTTCTATTATCGCTCCCAAACACGTCACTAAAACCTGATACATGTCACTCCTCTGAGCCACAGCTCCACGTTAGAGCCACGCTGTTACACACACACACACACACACACACACACACACGGTCCTGCAGCCACAAATACTCACTACAGCACTAAATGTATTTATCCGCGGGTGAAAATAGAAAACTAATTCTCCATTTCCTCCTCCCTGGTAAAAACAGTGAGCAGCTGTTTTAGGAAATGAATTCACCTTTTTTAAAAATGAAAGTAATTATGATCCATTTCTAAAGGTTGACGTCTTCAGTAGGAAACAATTTGTCAAAAGAGGAAAAAAATCAACTCCAGACTGAACTGAACCTGTTCAACTGAAGAGATTCTTCCTAGAGCTGAAATGATGAGCCGATTAATCAGTTAATTGATTGAGAGAAAAATAATCGGCCTCTATCTCGAGCAGTAAATTAATGTTTGAGTCGTTTTCAGGTAAAACTAGTGGAAAAATATAAAACATGTTTTTCTCTGTTGCGTATCACAGCAACCTGCATCAGACGAAACAAGACGTCAACAAATATTAATTAATAAATATTCAACAGATCAATTGTCATTAGTTGCAGCTCTAATAAAAACCTGTTGAAGTATCGTTAACACATCCCTGAAACTGACATCACGTCACCTGAGAGTAATTACCTGTGAATTAGAGAAGTTATCTTTATGAATCAGCACTGAGACAGAAAATCACAGGTTATAGTAAAATATACAAATTCTTTGTTTTGTTCAACCAAAATCCAATTAATCAATCAGCTGATTGGCAACACTTTCCTATAAACTGTGGAGCATTTATAAGCAGTAAATAAACATGTAATAACTGCTTTATAACACAGTGTGATGTGGTTAAAAGATTATTAATATATTTGTCATCAACTTAAAGTCATGTGTAAACAGATAATGACAATAATAATATAAAATGTTTTTATACAAGAAGTTAGAATTGTTGACAAATACATTATTAAACATGTAAAATGTCCTTATAGCACATTATAGTTTATTATACAACATTTATTAAATGTTCATTTACTGCTAATAAATGATAAACAGGCGTCTGATCGATTCTTTTTAAATTCATCAACTAATAGTTTTCACCTCTAATTTGTTTTACATGTTTAATCCATTTAAAAAGAGACACATCTTAGTTTGACATCGAGTCTTGAAGCTCCTTCGTACAGATTTCTCACTTCACCAAAACATGACGGCTCTGTGTGATGATGTAAACGCCTCTCCCTCTGTCTGCTCTGCACTCGTTTGTTTCTGCATGCCGCATGCGCTGTTTGTTTCTTTGGCGCTCTCCCCTCAGATGCCCAGGTGGTGTCGAACGCTGCCAGTGAGTAACACCTGACAGGATGGACTGTGTCGTGTTAGTCTGAATTATATTGATGTGTGTGTTCCCTGCCTTCTGCTCGTGTGTGTGGTTCTAGAGTTTAGTTTCCTGATTCACTTCCTCCTCCGCTCAGTGAAGGCCTCTACACTGCTGAGTGAAAAACTAGAACCACCTCCTGGTGGTTGTATGCCTCCTCCACCACCAGTTTCAGGTTACATCCCTGTCACCTTTGACCTTTCACCTTTAGCCATCAAAATCTAATCAGTTTGCCCTTGAGTCCAGGTGAATGTTTTGACCAAATTTGAAGAAATTCCCTCAAAGCGTTACGGAGATATTGGGTTCACAAAGCCAAAATCACTGTTTGTGAGGTCACCACGCCCCTGACCTTTGACCTTTGACCTTTGACCACCAAAGTCTAAAATCAGTTCATCCCGGTGGATGTTTGTGCCAAATTTAAAGAAGTTCCATAGAGGTGTTGCTGAGATATCGTGTCCATACATACAGCACAAAAACAACATGGCTGCCGCTCTGACTGAATAAAAACCTACGTAAGAAAAGACGCGTCATTAACTCTCGTCACGTCTGTGTCATACGTGTGTTTTTAAAATGCAGCTAAAACCATGTGCGGGGGATCGTCGTGGCTCCAGCTTTTATGTTTTCACCTCAGTGACACAAACATTCACTTGGACTCTTTTAGCTTCAGCCAGCTGAAGCTAAAGCTGTCTGATATAATAAATCCTCCTTCATGAATGAATCATGTCCGTGTGTTTAATGAGCTGTTGATTCACCTGTGTTCTCGTGTTAGAACATGTAGTTTGTGGTGAGAACCGATCACCGATCATCAGATCAATCGCTGACGGCTTCTCCCTTTGCCAATGTCTAGACCATATTTGGCTTGTTTTTCCATTAATGTAGGAACTTATTATCATCTTTATGTGTAGTATTAAATAATAAAATAAGGTAGAGTTTCATGTATATGACCAGCTGACTGTCAGTGAAGCGCTGCCTGTGTGTAGGTTTCACAGGACGACCCTTAGAAACATGTCTTTATAATGCCCCACAGTCCAGCAGCTCATTAAAACACACACCGAACATGATACCCTTTAATTAATGAATGCAGGACTGTTGTATTAGACTGCACTGTCTTCAGCTGGGTGTTCCTAATAAACTGACACAGCTCTGGACTCGACCACGTTTACTCCTCTTATCTTAAACGGCTCAATCACAGCGTGTAGAGGCCTTGAGATTCTCCGTCAGTAACTGTCTGTGTCAGCCTTCATCAGTGTCTAACTCCTCCTCCTCCTCCTCCTCCTCCTCCTCCTCCAGGACGAGTCTCTTCAGCGGCTGCAGAAGGAGTCGGAGATCCTGCAGAAGACCTACGCCCACTACTTCGACCAGACCATCATCAACAACGAGATCGACGAGACCATCAGGCACCTGGAGGAAGCCATCGACCTGGTGTGCACCACCAGCCAGTGGGTCCCTGTGTCCTGGGTCTACTGACCTCCTCCTCCTCCTCCTCTTCCTCCTCCTCCTCCTCCCTTCTTCTCTCTGCTCCTCCATCTCCCCTGGGCCAAACTCCCATCATTCCCTCTTTAAAATAATGATAAACAAAGACAAACAGCGATGGGAAACCTCTCTCTACACTGCACTCGATGGAAAACACCCTCAGCGTATCGTGACAGCGACCACAGCATTCAGCCGAAACCCTCTCCGCCGCCGCCGCCGCCGCCGCTCAGACGACCTGCGGCGCCCAGTTGTCGGACTCTCGCCCTAACAGACGACCTAGTCATAGTGTTGTATAAAAACAGAGTAAACAAAAAGTGAATATTGTCATGTCTGTACTAGCTAGGAGGCAACATTTTTGTAGATGTTTGTTTTAAAGAGACAGTACTGCGTCCCGTCATCCCACCACAGCCGCCGCCCTCCCATCACATTGTAGTCCTGTTGGGTGTTGTAGACCATCTGTAGGACAGTGTCAGTGGGTTTTCTGTCTCAGCAGACTGAAGTAAAAGCACACAAACACACTGCAATGTCTTCTCCTCTATAGATCATGTGACTCTCCCTCATATTTATTCATCCCCGTTCTTTTCTAAGCTGAAATACATCCTCATCGTCTGTCCTGTTGTTATCTCTGGGTACAGTTACACACACACACACACACACACACACACACACACACCTACACCTTTCTACCCACCAGGTACTGTCTCTTCTAAATAAATCCATAAATGTTTTAGAGATTTGAATGAGGTTATCATGCATGTGGACATTTGCAAGCTTCCATGCTGTCAGTCAGTCAGTGTTCCCCCGTGTCCCTCTGTAAACCTCCGAGAAAGAAAAGACAAAAATGTACTTAAAAAAAAACAAAAAAACAAACTAAATTAAAAAAAAAAAAAAAAACATTCCAGCTGTTTGGAAAACTGAACTCAGCCAAGGGAAGCAAGACGGGGGCAAGAAAAAACCAACAGCGACGGAGCCGGACGTTGACTTGACACCTATGCACATCCCTTGCATTTCGGGTGACATTTCTAAACCACAGATTTATAATAATAATAATAATGATAATAAAAAAAATAAATAAAAAAAAGATCGATCATGTAGTGAGATGTGTTTGTAAAAAAGAAAATCAAATAAAAGTCTTGATTTTTCTCTTTTTGATTTGTCATACACAAATAATTAAAAAAAAAAAAAAGCAGGAAGAATTTCACTTTACTCCTCATTTGCCATTTCAGAAATGTGATGTCCCAGAGTATTAGTGTCTCAATCAAGTTTAACAATGGACGAGAGATGAAATGCTGATTTTTATTCTGAAACTGTGTAACCGCCTGCAAACAAGTGTACACTCCGTATTCTGCAAAGGTGACGGCTTTGCGAGGGAAGAGGAGGCAGTGTGTGCATCTGATTAACCATGTACATGAATATGACAGACTGACATACAACTGCCCCCTGTGTAAATGACTCTGCAATGATAAGAGTTCTTCAGTATGAACAATTTTTTAAATATATTTCCTTTTATGTGTTGGAAAAACGAACCTTGGAGTGGCTCTTCTTTTTTTTTTGTTTTTTTTGTTTTTTTTGTTTTTTCACTGCACATAAACATCACATGATCAACACGTCTGAGCAGGTCTGACTCAGTGGAACACTCCGATCTCGTTCTAGAATAAAAGAACGACATTATAAAAACATTTAAACAAGAGCATTGTAAATCCCACCAAAGTAAAACTACAGAGGTGTCCTCAGTAAAATGAACTGAGAGTAGCAAAAGTAAAAGTCTTTGAGTGATTATGTGATTAGTTGATTGAAAGAAAACATCATAGGATAATACATTTATTGTTTATCTTCGATTTTGAGCAAAAATTACAAATATTTTTTGGTTCCAGCTTCTTCAACTTAACGATTTTCCACTTTTCCCGACTTATGTTGTAATAGTCGGAAAATCTTTGGGTTTTGAATTCTTGGTCAAATATAAAAAGTTATTTATTATGTTAAGTGTTCACTATTACAACGCAGCAACTAATTGACTAATGAATAAAGATAATCATTAGTTGTTGCCATACTTTGTATTATAAATGACATTTCATGTTGTTAATACTGATGCATCAGTGTGTAAAAGCAGCATTTTACTGTTGTAGCTTCTCCAGGTGGAGCTGCTTTTAACTACTTTACACTTCTGTGGTTCCCAATCTAAGGGTCGGGCCCCTCCAAAGGGTCACCAGATAAATCTCAGGGGTCATGAGAAGATTAATGTGAGAGAAGAGAAGCAAACACTAACTTCTGATAACCCAACCCTAATCCAAATATATAATTATTTTGTAGAAAAACGATTGATAATTTGATCCAAACTGTTGCTGCATAATTTTCTATCTATTAATTAGTCAATTGAGTAATTCTTTTACTAATTACAATAACTCAAATACTTTAGTACAGCTCTGAGGTATTTGTGCTTTACTCTAGTTTTTCCATTTTATTCTGTCTCACATTGCAGAGGAAAATGTAATTTTTCCTGAACTTTCAGATTAAACTTTCACATAAACAATTTATGGGAATAACATAGAATAGTAAGTCATAAAGCATGATAAAGCATAAAAACGTCAAGAAATGTCATGTTATACTAAGGCATAAAAGGGTAAAAAAAAAACATCATGGTAAATAAAGCATAAAAAAGTAAAAAAAATAACAGGATAGTCAGGCATAAATACGTCATAGTATGGTAAGGCATGACAAAAAAGTCATAATATAGTAAGGAATATAAAAGTAAAAAAAAGGTCATAGTTTAGTAAGGCATGAAATCGTCATAGTAACGTAAGGCAAAAAAAGGTCAAAAAAGGTCATAGTATAGTAAAACATAAAAACTTCAAAAAACATCATAGTATAATAAGTTATAAAAACGCCAAAGAGCGTTTTTCTATGGTAAGGCATAAAAAAGTCATACTATAGTAAAGCATAAAAAGGTCAAAAAGACGTCAAAGTATAGTAAGGCAAGAAAAATGCCTAATGACATCATGGTATATTAAGGCATAAAAAGGTTAAAAATAAGTCATAGTATAGTAAGGTATAAAAAGTAAAAAAAAGGTCATAGTGTAATAAGGCAAGAAAAACGACTAATGACACCACAGTATAGTAAGGCATAAAAAGGTCAAAAAACGTCATAGAATAATAAGTCATAAAGACGCCAAAGAGCGTCTTGCTATAGTAAGGCATAAAAACGTCATAGTATAATAAGTCATAAAGACGCCATAGTATAGTAAGTTATAAAAATGGAAAAAAAAGTCATAGTATAATAAGGCATAAAAAGGTTAAAAAAGTCATAGTATAGTAAGGCATAAAAAAGTTAAAAAAAGTCATAATATATAAAAACGTCATAGTATAATAAGTCATAAAAACACCAAAGAGTGTCTTGCTATAATAACTCATAAAAACGTCACAGTAAAGTAAGTCATAAAAACGTCATAGTATAGTAAGGTATAAAAAAGTAAAAAAACGTCATTGTATAGTATGGCATATGAAGGTGAACAAAAAGTCATAGTATAGTAAAGCATAAAAATGTCAAAGTATAGTAAGGCAAGAAAAATGACTAATGACACCATAGTATAGTAAGGCATAAAAAGGTTAAAAAAAGTCATAATATATACAAATGTCATAGTATAATAAGTCATAAAAACACCAAAGAGAGTCTTACTATAGTAAGGCATTAACATGTCATAGTTTAGTAAGTTGAATGCAAAAAAAAAAGTCATAGTATAATAAGGCAGAAAAACGTCATAGTATAGTAAGGCATAAAAATGCAACAGAAAAGTCATAGTATAGTAAGGCATAAAAAAGTTCAAAAAAGTCATAATATATAAAAACGTCATAGTATAATAAGTCATAAAAACACCAAAGAGTGTCTTGCTATAATAACTCATAAAAACGTCACAGTAAAGTAAGTCATAAAAACGTCATATAGTAAGGTATGAAAAAGTAAAAAAACGTCATTGTATAGTATGGCATATGAAGGTGAACAAAAAGTCATAGTATAGTAAAGCATAAAAATGTCAAAGTATAGTAAGGCAAGAAAAATGACTAATGACACCATAGTATAGTAAGGCATAAAAAGGTTAAAAAAAGTCATAATATATACAAATGTCATAGTATAATAAGTCATAAAAACACCAAAGAGAGTCTTACTATAGTAAGGCATTAACATGTCATAGTTTAGTAAGTTGAATGCAAAAAAAAAAGTCATAGTATAATAAGGCAGAAAAACGTCATAGTATAGTAAGGCATAAAAATGCAACAGAAAAGTCATAGTATAGTAAGGCATAAAAAGGTTAAAAAACATCATAGTATAGTAAGTCATAAAAACGTCAAAGAGTGTCTTGTTATAATAAGTCATAAAAATGTCATAGTTTAGTAAGGCATAAAAAAGGTAAAAAAAAAAAAAAAAAAGTGATAGTATAATAAGGCATAAAACATCATAGTATAGTAAGTTATAAAAATGCAAAAAAAAAAAAAGTCATAGTATAATACGGTATAAAAAGGTAAAAAAAAAAGTCATAGTATAGTGAGGCATAAAAACGTCATAGTATAGTAAAGCATAAAAAGTTTCAAAAACGTCATAATATAATACGGTATAAAAAGGTAAAAAAAAAATTATAGTATAGTGAGGCATAAAAACGTCATAGTATAGTAAAGCATAAAAAGGTCAAAAAAATGTCAAGGTATAGTAAGGCAAGAAAAACGCCTAATGACATCATGGTATATTAAGGCATAAAAAGGTCAAAAAATGTCATAGTTTAGTAAGGCATAAAAACGTCATAGTATAGTAAGGCATACAAACATCATAGTATAGTAAGGCATAAAAATGCAACAGAAAAGTCATAGTATAATAAGGCATAAAACGGTTAAAAAAACTCATAATATAATAAGGTATAAAAACGTCATAGTATAATAAGTCATAAAAACGCCAAAGAGTGTCTTGCTATAATAAGTCATAAAAATGTCATAGTTTAGTAAGGCATAAAAAGGTCAAAAAAACGTCAAAGAATATTAAGTTATAAAATGCTGAAAAAAAAGTCATAGTTTAATAAGGCATAAAAACGTCATACTATGTAAGTCATAAAAACGTCATAGTATATTAAGGCATAAAAATTTCAAAGTATAGTAAGGCAAGAAAAACGACTAATGACACCATAATATAGTAAGGCATAAAAATGCAACAGAAAAGTCAAAGTATAATAAGGTATAAAAAGGTAAAAAAAAAAAAAGTTATAGTATAATAAGTCATAAAAACTTCATAGTATAGTAAGTCATAAAAACGCCAAAGAGTGTCTTGCTATAATAAGTCATAAAAATGTCATAGTTTCGTAAGGCATAAAATCCTAAAAAAAAAAAAGTGATAGTATAATACAGCATAAAACATCATAGTATAGTAAGGCATCAAAATGCAAAAAAAAAGTTATAGTATAATAAGGCATAAAAACATTATAGTATAGTAAGGCATAAAAATGTCATAGTATAGTAAGGCATAAAAACGTAATTGTATAGTAAGGCATAAAAATGCTAAAAAAAAAAGATTCAGTATAGTATGGCATAAAGACGTCATAGTATAATAAGTCATAAAAACGCCAAAGAACGTCTTGCTATAATAAGTCATAAAAATGTCATAGTTTAGTAAGGCATAAAAACGTCATAGTATAGTAAGGCATAAAAACGTTAAAAACAGTAATAGTATAGTAAGGCATTAAAACGTCAAAAAACGTCAAAAAAAAGTCATAGTATAATTAGGCATAAAAATGTCATAGTATAGTAAGTCATAAAAACGCCAAAGAGTGTCTTGCTATAATAAGTCATAAAAATGTCATAGTTTAGTAAGGCATAAAATCCAAAAAAAAAAAGTCATAGTATAATAAGGCATAAAAACATAGTATAGTAAGTCATAAAAACGCCAAAGAACGTCTTGCTATAATAAGTTATAAAAATGTCATAGTTTCGTAAGGCATAAAATCCTAAAAAAAAAAAGTGATAGTATAATACAGCATAAAACATCATAGTATAGTAAGGCATCAAAATGCAAAAAAAAAGTTATAGTATAATAAGGCATAAAAACATTATAGTATAGTAAGGCATAAAAATGTCATAGTATAGTAAGGCATAAAAACGTAACAGA